GCAAGAGACAGCCTAATTCTTCCAGCGGCTGCCCGGCTATCTTTCCTGTGTACCATGTACCCTTAAAACTATATGTCGATCAAGAACAATGGCAGTTGAGACGACGATGATGGAAACAAAAATAACGACGATAGTAAGGCAGAGTACACTTGAGCCCGCAAAAATAGGTAGCAGGTCATTCGTCAGTCTAGCAGCAGCAGCGGCAGGCGACAGAGTTAAAACAACGCCATCACAATCACTAAGCTTGTCTTCGTGGACCTCTGTGCCAATGACGGCCGCGGCGCCCGGCGTCCGAGACCGCGATGTGACGGAGCTAGACAAGTCCAACGACGTGAGAACGCCAAAACATGCACCGTCATCCCTCAATCACTGTACTCGGCAGCAGTAGCTCAATTAGTCTTGAACTTGACTCCCACCGTGACATCTTACGCACACGCAGCGTGTCATACATCATCACCACACTGGAAAGTAACGACACAAGCTTCATAAAAACGAACGGCGCAAAGTTTGCTTTTTCTATGTATGATCATCATCAATTCATAAACGTTGCCCATTTCATGAGAAGCATTAGGCAGCATGATGGCGGTGGCGTTGGCGTTGGTGTTGTGTCCCTCTCCGTGTCCATGTGTGTGTGTGTGTGTTTGTATACAAGGAAAAAAAAAATGGAAAAGGAAAAAACCAAACTCTGCCCAGTGTTCCCAACACCCCAATGCAAGACGACACACACACACACACATCACACACACACACACAGGTAGAAGGAAACCAAGCGGGGAGGGGAAAAGGGAGAAGAGACCAAAAGACCATGAGACAAAAACACACTCGACATGAAAACTCCCCCAATCTCCCCAAATAAAAAAAAATGTGTTCCTAGCAGAGCCAGCGCCGGGCTGAGCCGCGATTCGCCTCCAATCGGAGGATGACGAGGGGCCATGGGCCTTGGGCGGTGGTGCTCTCGAGGCATTACTGACACTGAGGGGGGAACCGACTGTGTCAAGCCAGCTCTCCCCCCCCATCCTGTTTGTTCATTTTGGTCCGGATTCATCTGATGTACAATAGTTGAGAGCGTTTTCCGGGTGACTCTTTCGGGGAGTGACGGCGTTCCTATGACAGCCAGACGTCCCTCTCCTTGACGGGGGTCCGTCCCGGCTGGCGGTCCAACCCGAAATCGAGCTTCGGGATCTCAATCTTGGGCGCGGGCTCGGCGGGCTTCTTGACCGGGCTCTTCTTTGCGGGACTAGCGCCGCGCGACTCCGGGGGCGGGCCGTAGCGGACATCCCTCGCGTCCCAGCCGTCCTCGGTGGCGGCGGCGACCCAGCAGCGGAGGGCCTCGTGCACGCAGCCGTAGAACTTTTCTTTGCAGAGCCGGAGACTGCCGCCGAGGACCTTTTCCCAGCCGGAGATGCGGAGGTCGTTGCGGAGGGTGTTGCGCTGGTCCGCCGTCGGTGTGCAGGCGATGATGGCGTTCATTAGGTCGAGATGGGAGGCGAGGTAATTCGTTGCGTCCCACTCCACGCCGCCTACGTATGGAGCAGCCGGGACGGGCGGGCGCTCCGAGGGGAAGTGCCTGTGCATATAACCATAAGGCTCGGGAGTGCTGCCGTTGATAATGGCGCTCAGGGGTGCGCCGCCCTTGGTTGACATTTCCGAGGGCAAGGCGATGACGTTAAGGTGGTGGAGGAAGATCCAAAAGACCTCCTTGGTGACGCTGACGACCTCCTTGTTCCAGACGGTATAAGGGCGGTCTTTGCGCATCTCCAAAACGAAGCCGAGGGGCCGCTCTTCTTCCTTGGGCTGGGGGTTGCGCAGGTAGCTGAGCATCGTCTTGGCGCGGACGACACGCTCTGGCGGAGTGGCGGACTCGATGTATGTAAATAACACTGACGTGATGATGTTACGCGTGGTGAATTCACTTGGACCCTTCTTCTCGGGGTCGAATAGCATATGCAAAAGTTTCGGGAAGAGGTCGGCATGGATGGTGTGAAGGTACTGCAAGGCCAGGGCCGTGGTGCACAGGGCCTTCAGGCAGAGGAGGTTCTCATGGAGGAGGGCATCTTCATGTTCCTCTCTGTTGCATGTTAGTCCATCATCTTAGACATTACTAAAGGGTAAACGTACCTCCACTCAACTGCCAGAATGCGGTTGAGCAGTCCGACAATCTCCTCCATACCGCCCTGCTTGATGAAGTCCTCGGTCCAGGAGACCGTCTCATTCCTCAGCAGCAGACGCAGCTTGTGTAGCTTCCCGACCTCGACGAGTTCCGGCTTCTGCACCTTGCGGAGGTACGAAACATAGTCGCCCGGCCCCTGGCCGAACTTGATCTTAGAAAGAATGCCGTTGCTTGCGGTGGAGCTCGCCGCTGACACTGGCCGCTCGCTCGTGACGCTCTCCGTCGACTTGCTCCTGAAGTGGCGGCCGATGGATGAGGAGTCGCCCTTGGACTTCTTCGTCGGCGAGCTGGACGCCGACTGGTCCTTTTTGCGTGACAGGGTGAAGCTCCTTCCCCTGCTGCGTTTGGACTGCGGGACCTCTTCCTTGTCTGAGCCCCCATTCGGCGCAGCAGAGGCTGGCTCGTTGGCGCCTTCGTTGCCGGCTGCCTCCTTTGCCGCCATCTCGGCCCAGTCTTGGCGGATAAACTCCATCTTGATCGTGTCGGCGAGGTTCCGCATCTTGTAGCGCTGGTTCTCGGGGATGTTGCGCCGGTCGAGCATAGCCTCCAGGTGCTGATCGATCTCCTTGGGATCGATTGGCCGGTCTGGGGCCTCAATCGGTGATTTCGTCTTGGTCGTCTTTTGCGACATGGCCGAGAAAGCCGTGAACAGCTTTGGCCGCTGGACTTTGCTGGTGATCCTCTCTGACGAAGACGGCTCCCGACCGTTAGCCGGTGGCCTACTCCGCAGGTCCTGTGTGGATTCGTGCTTCGATATCGCCGTGGACGGATGGTACGACTTGGGCCGCTGCTTCTTTGGGGCCATGGCGTCATTCGACGACGCCTCGCTCCCGTATCGCCCGCTGCCGTGGTCAAACGACTGTTTCCCTCGCAGCCCCGTGCTCCCGAGATCCTGGCTGCAGAACTGCGCGTATATGGGCGGCGCGGGCCCGCCGACGCCGTTGGCGGACATGTCGGCGCTCGACGTCGAGCTCGGCGGGGTGCGGTTCTCCTTGTCCTTGGCCATGCGGCGCTCGTCCTCCTTCTCCTTGGAGGAGGTCTTGTTGAGGGACAGCGTCGACTTGGGGCGCGACAGGAAGCCGGCGAGGTTCGTGCTGGACTTTGTCTTCTTGGGCTTCTCGGGGGACACGTCGCGGGACTTGCGGGCTTCCTTGGCGAGGCCCTTGAGGGACAGGGTGCTGAAGGTGGATTTTGTCGGGGAGCGTGATCGGTCGCGTCGGTCGTCGTCTGGCTGCTTTCGCGGATAGCCGCCTTGCTGGGAGTTTCCGTTCAGCTCGCCGAGGGCGCCGAAGCCTTCGGTGCGGAGGGGAGACGGCGGGGGCAGCATCTTCCCCTCGAGGCGGTCGTAGGCGGCTTGGATGTGTTGGGAGGAGGAGGAGGTGGTTGTTGTTGTTGTTGTTGTTGTGATCTGGACGGACGGCGGGGAGGTGAAGAGCGCGGAGCCCTCAGACTGGTTACGTCGGTGGATGAAGCTTTTGAGAACGGAGGACCTGGGGCGGCGGCCGCTCTCGACTGGTCCTCCCCCATTGTTATCGCCTTCGACAGCGGAGCCCATTGTCGTGGGAATGGGCTTTGGCTCGCGGGGGGTGGTGGAGGAGAGACAGGGTCCTGCTGGTTCAGGTTTGGATGAAAACAATGCCCGGATGGAATGCTAGCCAAGTTTCTTGTGTGATTGATCGTCGCCCGTTGCCTAGTCTAGCGGAAAGGATATTGGAGAAGGGTGGGCGGCAGTTGGAAAGTAAAAACAACAGACGTCAGTAAGTCCAATGCTTTCTGTGTGATGATGAAGTCTCGCCCCGAACAGCTGTTGGTGCTTCGTTCGGCTCACACCATTGTTGGGGAAGAGGAAGAAGATGATGCTGCAACGCTCTTTTGGGAAGAGGGAGATTGGCGTAAAGCCAGACTGTCGACCCGGGTTGCGGAATTGCTATTGTTTGTCGTTGCAATAGGAAAAGTTTCGGGGGGAGGACGACGGGGGGAGAGGCGTAGGTAGGATTTTGGGGGAGCGGCAAGATGGGACACACACACGGGTAACGGGACGGGCTGGCAGTGCGGTGCTGTGCTGTGGGTGGTAAGGTAGGTAGTCGGTGAGCTACTCGTGCAATGTGGTTGGTAAGGTGCTCGATGGTGGCCAGCGATGTTTATCCTGGCCCGTCGCCTGGGTGACGGGTGGGCCTTCCCCCCGTTGGACGTGCCCGCCTTATCTTATCGGCCGTGCAACGCGCCTGCAGCTTGGGGTTCACTGCATTTTGGTCTGTTTTTTTTCGTGCGGGGCGGCCCGGCAGGAGTGGGGCCGCGCCGGCAGAGTCGGCGTCGAGACGGAGGTTGTAGTTTGGCGGGGGACCTTTCGTTTTGTGTAGTTCTTCCAACGCCAGAACGTCATCAGGGTCCTGGGTCTTGTCTGACGGGTCTAGCAGCATGACGTGCAGTTGATGATGATTTTGTTGGTGTTGTACAGGATACAAACCCATGTTTCGTGAGCTTGCACAAAGAAGTAGGACTCATAGATTCGTTGTTCAACAATGCATTGTATGTTGCCCTTGGCGGACGGGTCCATATCTGGTAGATGCGTTGCATTGTTCTCTGATCACCACAGTAATTTCAGAATGAAAATGTCACGATCGTTTGCGACGCTGGCGTAGAGCTCTAAATCTTGAATTACCATCTGGCCTGCGAGGATTCACCGAATCCGTGTCTATATCCACCAACGCCAACCCAATGGTCCGATTCTAATTCCATACCAACCCGCCAGTGCCCGTATCTTCACAACCCATGGCCACATTTCCTCTGGAATAGTGTCTCTCTATCGCCAGTATTGCTCAGCGCAGGTCTACCAACTCATCAACCCCTTGGCCCGATCAAACCCGCCCCTCAACTGCGTCTCCGGCTTCACAACCTTCCCCTGCAAAATCGTATACCGCACCAAATTTTCACAGTCCTCCGGCTTCACCCTCGCCAGCCAAATACACTGCGCCGCCCCCACGTCCTCCTCTTCCGGCAGCACCACCTTCGGCGTCACCTTAATCTCCTCCCCCTTCGCCCTCTCCACATCGTCCAGCCCAAACGCGTCCGGCCGCCGGTACACCATCACGTTCGCACTGTACTTATGCCCGCCCACGTGACTGATGAAGTAAATCCCCACCCCGCCAGGCCTCTCGTCGTCCATGTCGCGAAACAGGCCCAGCGGGCGCAGGTGGCGCTCGAGCTCCTTGCGCAGCAGCGGCGCCGACTGCCCGCAGCGCGCGTCGCGCGTCTTCTGCGAGCAGAGCAGGATGAGCGCGCTGTGCGGACACGGGCGGCGGGACATCTGCGGGGGGATCGCCAGAGAGGAAGCGTCGCCGGTCTCGGTGCCGTTTGTGGATGCGACGGGGACGGAGGCCGGCAGGGCCAGCGGCGCGAGCGGGTCCGTGTTCGTGGGCGCCTTGTCGACGAACTCGGTGATGAGCTCCGGCACGCGCTTCGGGGTGACGTGGTCGATGATGACGAAGGCGGGGAGGAGGAGGACGGTCGTGGGCTCGGCGTAGTCGTTGTGGTGTGTCGGCGTGGGGATGTTGGAGGCAGAGAGCATCAGTTTCTGCGGCGGTCAGCTTTGTTCTTCTCCTGCACATCTGTTAGGCAAGAAACGGTGACATACCCCATTACTAGGCGCAGCAGCCCTCCCAATCGCCTCCATCACGCTGCCCTTCTCGTCCGCCACGTCCCTTACCCAGTCGCTCTTCCCCGTCGCCACGAGCGCGTGCGTCGCCCACCCCTTGACGTGCCCGTACAGCTCGTCGCCCTCATCGATCTTGAAGCCCTTGGGGTACTTGACGTGGCAGCTCTCGCAGTCGTGCTCGCACTCGTCGCCGTCGACGGTCGGATCCGTCTTGGCGAAGAGCTCCGTGGCAGGGACGCTGGCCTCGCCGAGCGCAAGCTTGCGCGCGCCGTTGATGAGGGTTTTGAAGACCATTGTTTCGTCGTCGTCGGGATTTTGCCTGTCGGTCTCCCTTGCGAAAAGAAGCAAAGAATATTGCTGAATGGAAAATTGCCCCCCTCCTGAGCAGAAAAAGGGAGAAAGGAAGTCGGGGAAGGGACTCTTGGGTCCTTTAGGGTCGAGAGCCGCCTCCTCGCCTCAGGGCTGAATCGCGCCTGCCTTAAGCCCGTGGCGGGGGAGGAAGGCTCGGGGAACGGGCGACTGCGGCCGGCCCACCCGTTCGGACACTGGAACACCCTCAGGTCACAGTAGTGCAGTGCGTATCCGTTACCGTAGCTGTAGTGGCGGGAAGTGGGGTGGAGGGGGAATTGCGAACAATACCGACGGGATGATTGGACAAACAGCACAACCCCTCCAAACAAAAAACCCCAACACAACCCACGACTCAAACGAAATCCGGAGGTAGCTGTTCGGCTTGTTCAACCGGCCGGTGCAAATGGGATCTCCGCGCGCCGAGCCAATGGCCGTCTCCTGCTTTTTTATCGCCGGGTCAGAGACAATCGCAGTCTTCTCTAAGGCACTTCCGTCAGACGGGGCCAACTCCCGCGCGGCTCCTTATTAATGCTTCCCTTCCCCATGGGGGCCTCGTATCGCCGAGTCTGACTCGGACTTATCTTGCTTTCTCAAGCCAAGAGACGATCTGCGAAAGAATGTGGCTCACTACAGCCTTTGCGCCGGCATTCCGTGCCGGGTCGAGGCCACGCGTGCGATTCGTCTCATATAGCGTCATACCAGCCACTCCCAACCGTCTCGAAATGTCCGTGACCTGGTGTGCCTTGGGTCCTTTTGAGTTATCAGATCCTGCCAGACGGCGGAGATGCTCGGCGTTCTCTTTCTCCATCGCCGGGGTTAACTGCGCTTTCTTCGTTGTTGCCCCGGTCATTCCCCGTGGATAACATTACCGCCGACGATGTCATCTCCAAGCATGCCATTGGCTCTGTAACAAACAACTTGCATGTTGCGAGCCGCACGTTTCAAAACACGAAGCCGCTTACTTCTCCTTGGTTCAAGTTTGGTCATTCAACTAATGCTAATTTGCAGACGAAAAATGGGAATCAATACCGTCCAGTGTCATCGCTGTCTATACACACACAACACCTCTCTCCCAACCCGTTTTTGTATTAGTCGCACCATTTCGTGCACCTCCCCTTACATCCCTTAAATTTTTGAAACCTGGTCTACTTTATGTGTTCTTCTTGCGCGCCTCATTGTACTCCTCGTCTTCGCTCTCGTCGGCACCCAGCTCCATCTTGTGATCTCCGCTCTTCCTCCGACGAAGCTTCATGGCTTCGCGGATCTTCCTGCTAGCCTCGTCAAATCCACCGGCGGAATCCAGCGTGGTAAAGCCGCTGATGGGGAAACCGCCCGAGTTGAGACCGCCACCACTGCTGCTGCTGCGACTTCTGGACCGGGAAGGAGGCCGCGTAGAGAAGATGCCAACACCGCCAATGTTGCTGTATGATTCGTTGCGGGGAAGGCTGCGGCTGGACTGTGTCGTCGCCCTCCTCGCGGAGGGTGGGGTGGCCGAGTCGCAGGCGCTGGATGCGTCGCTGTCGCGGCGCGCCGGAGGAGTGCGCGGTCTGTACGGGTCAGCGACCAGGCGCGTCTTCTCAAAGTCGGGGAACATCTCGGGCCCGAGGGTGTTGATAAGATCGGTAACCTGGACACTGAGCTCCGCCCGCTTCGCACGGAGTTGGTGGATGTTGTAGCTGGATGTAGGGTTCAGGCACAGGACCAGAGGCCTGAGTGACTTGAAGATGTCCATGCCGACCTCGCCGAATCTCAAAGCAGCGAACGTAATGCCCACCATCAACGGCCACATGACAAGGTAAGTCGTCCACCAGGGCACCCACTCGGGAACGTGTCCCCAGAGGTGGTCCTTCCACACCCTGTACGTGACGATGGCCGAGTAGAAGTGGTACAGCGTAGGGGCGAGGAAGATGGCCACGAGAAGCTTCCACGTCGCCATGACGTCGCGTCCCTGGACCTTGACCGTGGAAGCAGCCAGTGCCTGCTTCGCCTTACGAACGCTAGTGACCTTCGATGCGATGAAGACGGGGGCAAACAGTACCAGGCCAGGGAGCACGCCAACCAGGAGGACCAAAAGCTTTGCGATGCGGTAGAAGAGGGTGAAGATGACCTTTGGGGTAGACATCTTGGCGTACTGGACCTGGTGGTCGCGGAGGTTGACGTAGCGGAGCTGCTTGTTGTATTCCTTGACCGACTTCATCACGTCCTTGATGCGCGGGTCGTCCTTGTATCGTTCGTATCCCATAGCGAGTCTGCGGTTCAGCTCTACCACCACAGGCAGTGGCAGCTTCTTTCCGGTAGGGTTGTAGAGACGGCGAGCGGCCTGGAGCATCATCAAGGTGTCGTAGTCGGGCGTGGAGACGGTGACGGCGCTCAAGGACTGGTAGACGGTGTCGAGAAGCTGGCCAATCGCCTCTCTTCTCTGGTTGTTCTTGTACTTGTCGACCAATTCAGGGGGGATCTCGATGGGGGGGCCGAACTCGATAACGGCACGACTGCGGAACTTGTGGGCATGGAAGTAGTTCATGCCAACGGGCACGATCTTCAGGCCACAGTCGGGAGACTCGGCAAGGGCACCCAGAGCCATGATGGCGACACCGGCCTTCAGGGGCAGCAATTCAGTACGGTCGTGGCTTCCGCCCTCCGGGAAGATACCAACGCAGCCGCCGGATCTGAGGCGGTTGAAGACGGCCTCGTACACCTTGGTCTGGTCAATGTGGGGGGCAAGCTTGTACTTGGTACCCTGGAAGCCCTCGGCGCAGCCCTTGATGTTCTTGTTGGTGAAGTTTCCATTCTCGTCGATATCGTCGCGGCCGGTCAGCTGTTCCATGGGCAGCTTGCCCTTGAACGGGCGCTTGAGCCGAATTTCCTCGGGACCAATGATTTGCGCAATATCAACACTGGCGCCCGTCTGCTTCTTGGCAGAGGGCAAGAAGAGCATGCCGTGGACCTCACCCTCGCCCTGGCCGAACTTGGTGCCGACGCCGCGGATGAGTGTAGGGTCGTTGATGGGATCCGGGAGGTAAATGACACCGGAGGCGGGCTTGGCGGCATCCTGGGCGCGTCCGACAGGGACGGAGCCGACCTGGCGCGAGCCCCAGCCGATGAATCCATGTACAGATTTTTGGGCGATGAGCAGGGAGACTCGGCGACCGGCTTCGTGGCGGAGGGTGCGCTGGAGGATCAGAGCATCGACAAACTGCGAAGCGAATAAAATCGGTTAGCATGTGATGGACGAAAACTGGGGCAGGTGCAGGGATCATGAAGAGATCATTCTCGAGGGCTCGACCTGCAGCGCGCGGGAAGTTGAAGAGCTATGGGCTGCGATGAAGTGCGGCTGTCTGGGCAAGCGTATCCGGGTGGAAGACTCCAGACCAAAGATAACAGGGAGGTCGCATGAACCAACCCAACAGGGTGGAAAACAGGGACGACAGGGAGGGGAGTCACCAACCTGATTCGCGTGAGGCGCGGCGACGAAGAGGATAGGACCCGTCTTGGGAACCTTCCAGGAGCCTCGAGGGTGAACTTCACGGAAGAAGAGGTCGACGAGGACACCAAGAACCCAGAGGAAGAGGTCGTACTTCCAGTTCACCATGGGATAGAGCTCCTTTGGCGGGGTCGGGTTTGACACGCTCTGCGGCGCCGCAGCGGCGGCCGTTCCAGCGTGGTCGGGCATATCTGCGACGGCGCGTGTGTTCGTATGGGCAGTGTTCAGCGAGGGGAGCCGATATATGAAAAAGAGAAAGGAAGAAAAACTTTCGTGCGCGCCGGTGGTTTGCTCGAAAGTTGCGCCACTCCCTTAGGCTCTCATCCTCGGTGGTGCGGGAACCTTCGGGCTGGGCGGCAGTGACGGCAGATAAGTCTTCAAGCCCGTATCAGTCAGTCGTCAGAAGAGTAAAGGCAACGGATGAGGCGGCGACGTCGACGAGAGGCGGGTGGAGGAGGGAAAGAGAGCGGGCGACTGTCAGCGCCGTCGTCGTCGTCGTCTGGTGATGTTCGCGACAGGCGATGAACAGGAGATGGGAAGAAAACGGGAAAGTGACGAAAGGGAAGTTTCCCCAAATTTTGGGAGGGATGTGGCCTCTGGCGACCAGGGAATGCGCCGATCAAAATTAGGCCCGAAGCCAATTGGTCCCGGTCCGGGGGGCCCCTCTCATGGTGCCCTTCTCTTTTGGGACGCCTCTCTTCAGAAGGGGCCGCCCTTCCACCTTCCATCTTCCACCTTCCACAGCAGCATCCACCTGCTCTTCTTGTCTCTTCGCTGTTTTTCTGCCTGCTTCCAAGACACAAACCACGCGTCTTTGGCGTCTTGCTTTCTTCTTTTTCTGCCTCTCCCTCTGCTAAATCTCGCAAGTGGCCAGCCTCACAGGACCCTTCTCAACTGAGGCTTAAGGTTACTTATGGAAGTATCTCTGCTGCAAAAAAGCCCGGATCATCTCATCAGCGCTGAACAATGCGGGGGAGCTGAACTAAAAATACGGAGAAGCTCCCCCCCCCAGAAGTCCATCGGGTTACAACATGCACTGCACGCGAGAAAGCTGGAGGCGAATTGGAGACACGCCGGGATCCTGCTGCTAGCTGCATCACTACCACTACTAAGTGCGCCCAGTGTACCCCTCATTCTCAACCGTTACCTTTTTATGCATTTTGTTGGGACGTCGCAGACTCATTGCTTGCTTGGTTTGCATCATTCAACAACTAAGCAAGCTGCAGTCCCCCAAACAGGCCACCAATTCCGCGTCCCGAGAGTTGTCGCGAGCATCGTCTTCCGTATGTCCGTCTTTCGGCTGCGGAGCGGCACACACATCACCTCGGGCTGCAAAACACGAGCCCGCCCGCTCTGAATCACTCTTCTGCCGTGTCTGGAAACGGCCCTGCACCTGATTGGACGAACCTCCCGTCTGTGCTGCCATTGTTCTCCTGCGCCATCATTTGCAGCTAGATCCTGCGCCTACGCCTGCGTTAACGCTGCGAAGAATACGCCGCGAGGTCATTAGTACGTCAGACTTGCGTGCCAGGGGCCGCACAATGGCCAACGGCCCTGCGTTAGACTTGGCGTGACTGGTGCTGTTCTACAATGTGGTTGGCTGTGCAATCCGGCCAGAGATGAACCTGTTTTGCTAGTCTATGCTGATGTTGGCCAATCTGCACGTCGAACCACATAGGCTGATCAAAGCTATGTAAGGGCTAGGCGTAGAGAACATTGACCTCGCATGCATCCTCGACCTATGTCTTGGCGCGAGATAAAGGAGATTCAAGGTCCACGACTCTCGTTGGATGCTTATTCAAGCTACGTATGCCGCTATCGTTGAAGCTAAACTAGCTATCTCAGCATGGATTTCAGGCCGAACAGATGATCTGAGATCGGCTCGTTTTTCCATGTCTGCGCGGCTACATATCCTGCGTATTTTGCAGGAAAATATTAATAAGGATGTCTCTTGCTACAAACGTGGACATGTGACTGAACAGGATGCTCTGCGCCCGAGTGATTGAAGAAATGTTCATATTGTAGGCCTGATAAAAGACGCAAGAGCGGACAGCCCGTGTCTGTATAAGATGAATGCGTCGCTGCTTCAACAGCAAGCTTATTTTGGAAAAAATATCAAATAAGTCCTCAAAGCCAGCGTTCTCTCCCAATGGACGCCACAGTAGGGCGGACTTGAACGACTTTGATTTGTCACAGAGGCATTGAAGCACGATGTAATTGAAAAAGCGCATCTTCGATTCTGTTGTCAATCTTCACTGTCTCATGGGTATTCGTGATCGCGCCAAATCAATGAAGTTGATACCCGACACTACCAAATCACAAGACTCACAGTTTTCCCTCGTGTTCTATGTCAAGAAGTCATTATAACAGATATAATTGCTCCTCAAACCTCCATTTTCCGATCAGAAAATCTCTTCACAGTCCATTGGGTCTGTCAAGCTCGAAAGAGAAGGTCAAAAGCCCCTTTTAACGGAGCGTCGCTCCCGTATTCATGAAGAAAGGCCACATCGTGACATCCCTCATGGAATAACATCATTCCAGAACGAAATGCTTTTTCAAATCTATCATAACTGTGCAATTCTTGTGGTTTGCTTTACGGAACAGAAATGTGTTGCTCAGGGTTCTTATTAGAAGGCCCATGAAGAACACTGACAACGTTTTCGCAGCCGCAATCACTAATCTCCCTCATGAAACGCATCACTGGCGTCAAACCCACCGACAATGTTGTCGGTCATCATCCTACTGTTATTCTTTCTGTGGATTCACGAGCAACATCCACGTGGGCCGTATCATCTTAAACAAGCAGCGCACATCTCTATCTCATGGCGCATGGACAGTTACAATTTTACAAACAGGGTCGCTTGCGACGCTTGAGAACGATTCTCTGTGTGGCCAAGATAAGCTCACGCCAGAGGCTGGCTTTTAAAGAATGGATCCTACCAGACTTACACGTTGACCTGGGTTGACGAGTTAGTGTGCCTTGGGGAAACTCCCCATATCTCAGCTCTTTTCCCTTTATTTAAATGACTAACACGCCGAGAAGAAACCCACTTCAAGCACGGAAATGCAGCGTTTTATCGCTTTGTGTTATCTTACTCCATAATCATGAACTGAATGGATTTCTTTGGCGATGCCCTTTGGAGGTGTTCGTCGGACCGAGAGAACGCGGGTCTAATGTCCATGCAACCCAATCCATTGAAGATTGCAGTGGCCAATTTCTATTTAGGGTACTGACAGTCATCTTGATTGACTACTTATTCAAGGAATTATTCTGATCGGATCAAGTTGCATACATACCAGGCACTACACCTCCACCATTGCTCCCAGGCCATGGTGGTTTCAACGGTCCACGACGCACGCAAAACAACAAAAACCCAGCTTGCTGGATATTTCTTGGATCAAATCATCCATTCGCTGGATAGACTATGGTTAAACTTTCATCACGAGTTTATAGTGCCCTCAGAAGCAACGTCGTGTGCAGCAAATAGGATGAACAAACCACATACATCTTCAGCCATCGCGCATGACTCAGGCAAGTAAAAGCAGAAGTCGGGCTCTTTCTTGATGGCTGCAGCACCCAAATGTGGTGTCTGTCGCCCTTGACATGGACCAAATGAATTCTACAAAGTCCAAGAAGATTGCAGTTCGGGGTTGTTGCAAGCGAGTCTGACAGATAGCACGTTTCGTCTCGACTCTTGAGGGCTGGTCTTCACTCACTTCCTCTTTATGTGAGGTGAATACTTGAACGCAGCGGGAGAAAGGCAGCACTCCTGTGTAATTATTTGTCCAAGTAGATTCATTACCTTGGTGTGGAATAAAAGAACGTGACAACTCAAATGTGCCTTCAAGATGCGTCAGAAACGATAGCGAGAGATCATTGTGCCTGCCGAGGCCAAGAAAATGCACCTTTCAAGCTTGAATATATAGTGAAATAATCTCAAAGTCTCATTGTGCTCAAGAATAGGCCCAGGCGAATTGCATTCACTGGCTGTGTGGCTACGTAGGCGGTAGGGTGCGACTGAGACGAGCCAAACACACTTGCTCTTGCTTTCTTGAGCACTCAGCACCAGCTTGACGGCATGACTTACAGCTGGTAATTTTATGAGATCCGTTCTTCGTTGTCTCTTGTTTCTTCCTTTTTGGTGATTCATGCACATACGGCGTAGAAGATGTCTCTTGCCACGACCTGGCAGCGTGTTGATGTCCTCGTTGCGTCACTGGTGAATACAATCTCGTAGCCACCATAAAGCCACCCAAACCTTGAGATGAGTGACACGGAAACCCACATTTAAGTTGAATGATTGGGAAGTCGACGGTATATATATATTCATGTACACTCTTACTATCCGGGTGAGTGGTGATAATGGACAGCAGGAATGAGGGTTTCGAAGGTAACAATGATATGACAGTAATGACGACGAAGACGATAGTAACAAAACTTAATCAGCTTGTAAGTAATATCTATGAGTAATAGTCCGCCCAGGCAGCTGGAATTAGTCGCCCGGACAGCAAATGTCTTCTAAAAATATTCATCCTTCCGCTGGACCGCCGGTCCCGATCCCGAGTCCGCGGGGAAATCTCCGGGCACGGCAGGACCGCCGCCGCCGCCACTTAACGGCAGAATTAGAACAACACCGTTCGATGAAGCTCATGTCATTACTAAACCCCATCCACGATTCGGGGCCGAGGGATTCTGGCCGACGATCTCTCATAAAAATCACCAACCCAATTACTCCTCCTCGAACTCCTAGGCGACCGAGGCTCTGAAGTCAGGGAGCACCGACACGGCACAAGCACCGCGTTCATCCTGACTGCCTCCCTCGAAGGAACAATCCCTCCGGGCGGGAGCTCGGCGACCGTTCCTCGGTACGGACGAACGAACTCAACGTCGATGCACATCACCACCAACCAGCCAGAACCCCGCGTCCTCAGATCCATCGGTGCTCCTTTAACCAGTATCTGTTCTCAACCCCGCCGACCGTGCCTCCCTCGCAGCATCACCACGCACCGGCACGGTCGGCGCATTGCACACAGCCCGCCTGCCCAAGCTTGCGTCTTTCCATCTGGACGTAGTAAGCAAACGAAACTTTATCACAACGTTGAGAAGCCCCGGCTCGTCCAAGCCGTGTACTGTCTGCATTGTGCAATCCGCAGAACATGCTTTGCATTCACTACAGCCCTGTTCCCCCTCTCCGGCCGTGACGGAGCCTTTCATCCGGTGTACAGCAAACAAGCACCATGCAGAGGCAGCTTACGTGCATGTCATGTCCAAGCTCCGGTCAAAACGGCCCGGGGCAATGTTCTAATGCAATCTTTCCGTCTATCATGGGACAACTTGAGAAGAGGGAGCACAAGCATTCATGGTGAAGTATGCTCTGTGTATGGCCCTCCCCGGCCTGCTCCATCGAGTTCTAGGCCCTGAAACTATCGTCAAGCTCTCCATGGGCTTTTCCCGCATGGTTCCCTCGCATTGATATACCCAGGGGGCAATAACCCGCCCGAGGGAACATCCTTGCTCCAAACCTGTGACAGCAAACAACTGTCCCTCATCACCACAATAATGTACACAAGTCACCCATAATCAAGCATGAATTCAGACCCGCATGATGCGCTGTAAATCATAGGATAACTGTCTTGGTATATCAGAGGAAAAAGGTAAGGACAGGCATCTAGATGTCTATCAACGCAGCCTCCCCATCCTTGGCCATCTCGTCCTTGGCCCGCTGAATGACGTCAACCCAGTTAGGCGGCCTGCACCGCTCCTTAGCAAACAGCTCCTCGGCGTCGAGCCCGAACTCGAGCAGGCTGTGCTCATCCGTCCACTCGCCCATGCCCATCAGCCCGACGGGGACCTTGCCCTCCGTGTCGGGCCCGGCCTCGCTGCCGCCGCCGGGCCGGTCGTGCGGCACGACGTAACCCGCGGGTGCCGTGACACCGGGCAGCCCGCAGAAGTTGCCCATCCAGACATATTCCATGCTGCGAATGGTGCGGTCGCCGTCAGAGAGGCCATGGGTGAGCTCTGACTTGGACATGATGGGCCAGCCGGCGCAGGCGGTAGTGGGCGTGACGATGATCATGCCCGGGTACGTCTGCCAGAGGTGTGCGAGGTGCTGCATCAGCAGGCCGCGGAGCTTCTGGGCGAGGAGATAGTCCATAGCGGAGGTGACTCGGCCGATGGCGAGAAGGATGCGGTTGCCGTGGGTAAGGTTCTTGGTTTCCGGGAGGAGGGTGGCGCCGTCGGTGAGAACGGTCATGGCGTGCGCGGACTGGCCCTCAACGAGGAAAGGGATGTCGATGGGGACGGTGGCGTAGCCATGGCGCGAGACGAGGCGAGCGATCATGGAGCGGCACATGCGCTGGATGGCCGGGTCGGCCTGGGCGAACCAGGACTCGGGGACGCCGAGGATCTTGCCGCGTTTCTCGGAGGGGGAGAGGACGAAGGGGGAGGCCTGGATGAAGTTGGAGTCCGGGTGCGGGGCGCCGATGGTCTCGAAGCAGGTGGCCAGGGACTCGATGTCCGCGGCGATGGGCCCGTTGACGGCGCACGAGTTTGAGTGGTTGGGGCAGGGGTGGAAGGAAATGCGGCCGTGGGTGGGCTTGAGGCCGTACACGCCGCAGAGGGACGAAGGGATGCGGATGGAGCCGCCGCCGTCGGAGCCTAGGGCGAAGGGGACGAGGCCGGTTGCGACGGCGTAGCCGGCGCCGGATGAGGAACCGCCGGTGTAGTAGCCTGCGTTGTACGGGTTGCGGGGTGTTCCGTAGATTGGATTGTTACCGGTTGTGTCTTGAACGATTAGTACTGTGAAACCAAAAGGGGGTGGGGTGTACCTACCGAGGCCAAACTCGTGCATGGAGAGCTTCCCAAGGATGACAGCGCCTGCAGACTCCAGCTTCTTGACGCACCAGCTGTTGATCGACTGGCCGGGCTCGACCTGTGTGGTGTAGTCGTTGCGGGAACCGAGGCAAGTCCGGTAGCCGTCCATCTCGTACTCATCCTTGACCGCAGTCGGGACGCCGTCCAAAGGGCCCAGCGGCTTTCCCTCCTTGTACCGCCTCGTCGAGGCCTCGGCGGCGGTCAGGACCTGGGTGACCTTTGTGTCGAACCACGCGATCGAGTGCTCACCTGGCGGGGCGGTGTCACGGCGGATCAGGGGCAGGATGGCGCGGGCGACGGCGAGTGGCGTGACCTCGCCCGAGAGGTACATCTCGTGATAGTCGGCGGCGGAGTAGTACTTGAAAGGCCGCGGCTTGGACTTGACGGCGCTCTCACGGTGCAGGACGGCCGGGTCTTTCGCCTCGTCCATGGGAAAGGGCAGGACGGTTGGGTCGTAGCGCGGTTCCGCATCCTCAATGTGTTTGCGGATCTTCCGCACGCCGCCAAAGCCCGCGTTGCTCCAGATGAAGGCGCGGATGAACCAGAGATATTCCATGCTGTGACGGTCAGAGACTTGAACGTGCCATTTCGCGTGACGGACTTACGCCCATGCTGCCAGCACCAAGAGCCAGCCCTTCAAGGGCGGATTGCTTCCTCGCTCATTCTTATACGGAATGGGTGGCCTGGCGGAGACGAGTCAGTATCCTGCGCTTTTGTACGATCTCGACACGAACGGTGGTTCGTGCATCGCGGCGAACACATGGTCAAGACGGGCGAAGCCTGACACGAAACAGAGCCAACCGAGACAACTTACCCGGCTAGAGGCACAGGGTAATTGATGAACTTCTTTCTGACTTCGGAGCTCATGTTGGACCTCTTGCGGACCGAGCTGGGAGGGGAGATGGAGCCAAGTCCGGCGGCGTCATGAGGGGGTGGTCGTTGGGATTCGGGATCAGACTCCAGTGTTGCCGATGAACATGGCATGGTGGTTTCGATAAGGCTGGGCGCCCGCGATGTGATACTCTGAGACGGATGGGCGATCCGGACCGGGACAAGCTTATATACCTTAGTTAGAGCTACCCGGCTGGAGCTTAATGCGGCGGTGGAAGAAGAAAAGAAAAACCAAGGTTGATGGGACGCGGGCTGACGCTGGGATGCAGGCTGCGCCGGGACCTCCCTCGTCTGCGGATGCCGGGCTCGACCATGCAACAGGTTTGCGCCTGGGCCGTGTGATGCTCGCCACGAACCAACCGTCAGGGAGGGGCGAGTGGGAGGGCCGGATGGACAGGGGCAGTCTCTCCAACGGTCGAGGCCGTCTGATTTTGGGGATCCAATCGCGGGCAAGGGGTCGGACGGGCAGGATGGCAGCGTTGGGTGTCGTCCAGTCCGGAGGATGTCGGCCGGGACGATCAGCAGGAACCGTCAAGGTGCATACGGTATGCCGGCGGCGGCGGTGGGCTGTTACTATGTAAAGCTGGTTCCCGGGTAGATCCGAAAGTGAAGCTCTGGGGATGTGTTAATGCTGATGCAGTGGGCGCGAGGCTGGACGTTGCGTGTTCAGGTTGACTTTTTGATGCTTGAGTTCGGGATCCTCGGCCGGCCGCATTGGGAAACCCCTGCTCTTTGGACGTGCGGCGGTACCGTTCTGGACTCCGCGGCCTCGGTATGGGCCCGGATAACCTAGGTGATGAGGTGAGCGAGCGAGCGAGAAACTGCTTGGTACTGACGGGAGACTGAGCCTCTGGAGACGAGGCGGGCCCAGAAGGTCATGTCATGCAAGGGAGATGAGTTGAGGCGACGTGAAGGTGTGTATCCGCAGAGGTTAATGACTGGCGTGAGCTTGTTCGGGTTTGGCTCTCCCGCTGACGAATGTTCGGCCGTGTAAGTGTCTGTCTCTGTGTAAGGTAGTTGTGTGGGAGCTGCATGTCTCACTGGGAAAATAAACACGCGGCGCATTGCATCTCAGCAGATCTTCGTCCGGTGACAAGCTTCCATCCAAGGACAGGGACGGAGGCAGAGACAGACGTGGAAGGGGGCATTAGTCGCAGTGGTGGGCAGTGAAACCGTGAAACGACCAGGCACTAGGTAGGCACTCGGGAGCGACGGATCTCGCAGAGGACTCCCTGCTGCAGAGCCGTGATCGCCGCCATTGTTTCTTGTTTGCGGAGGCTGTGAAGTGTGAAGTGATGTGTTGTGTTCTGGCAGTGGTTAGTATGGGTAAGGTAGGTGGCATAGCATAGATAACAACCGATGGCATCCCAGCTGCCCGTCCCAAAAAGAAAAGAGCGTAGCAGTTGCGGTCGTCGGGTAGCTGCTGCGTTTGCCAGAGATTCAGTGCAGCGGACATGGACGCCGGACGAGACGATCAACTGCTGCTGCTGCCCGCTGCTCGGCCTTGGGACGGCAACCGCTAGCGTTGCACTAAAGCCAAATGGGAGCTTCTCCACAAAAGCGGGCCACTGACGTCGTGCCACGGTGCACCTCACAGAAACACTCCGCGACACTAGTTGGTGATTGGGCGCCGCACTGCTGGCATCAGCCACATCAAGCGGGCGGTATGAGCCACGTATCTGATACCGGGCAACCACAGCACCGCACGTGCCATGGCGGGGCTTCAGTCTGTGTGAAGGGTGCGGTGCTGATGGCTTTTCCTCCGTGCTGAGACTCATCGAGGCGACCCAAGGCAATGACGGCGTGACCCATCCTCCTGGAACCAGCAGAGTCATTGACTTTCTGCCCTGAGAAAATCGGACTGGGGAAACATGCACCTCGACTTCGACAACCCTATGAATCATCGACGTCTTCCGCGAGCGCGTGTTTGAGTTTTCCAGCGTCCTGGTAGCGCGAGTCCGGCTCAAATTTCGACGTCTGCACCCACAGTCGGAGAAAGCCCCGCAGCGTCATACTTCACTGGCGTCGGCCATCAAAACCCCAACCAACCTCATCGCCGTCCATTGCTGTTTGCTGAGCTTGTATCGCATCGTACTACACCCCGAACAGGACCACAGCATAACCGCCCTCTGTCGCGATCGGCCAGTCTCTATCGTCTTGGCCCGACCAACCCAGTGAAACACCAGTGTCTTTCTCCGTCTCAGTATGAGTAGCTTGCTTCTTTGGATTTCGCGACAATACCTCGAACCCTGAAGCCTACCTAGATCTAATGGCATTATCATCAAAACTCGACGACCTGGTGGTAAGTCTTCCATGGCTGATGCGTGCATACTGCAAGCCACAAACATCTTCTAGACTGTTGTTAACCGCATCCCAGGCGGAGTTTCCCCTCCTAGACCCCACAGTTGTCATTGCAATCGCAAGTGAGCTGGACCTCAGCGATGCCGGCCAGCTCAACGACGTCCGGGGCATGCTGCAGAGCCTTGCGCAGGACGTTCTGGCTGAAGAGGCCAGCGGCTTCAACGCCAGTGGTGTTCCCGATGCTCTCAGCTCTAATGACGCTGGCACGGACACCAGAGACAGCTCGACCAACATCTCTGATGGTCTCCACCTGAGAGACTGTGACTCGGCGAGAACCGGCGTCACGAGCCCCCCTCCCCCAGATGAGCTGGAGTATGACGTCCCGCGCATCAAGACCTTCGACGGCGACTCAGAGCAAGAGAAGCTGGTGCAGCTGCAGGAGATGTTCTCCGACCTGAAACCCCACGACGTCAGCTTTGCTCTCAAGAAGGCACAGGGTGATTTCCAGTCCGCTCTGGAGACGTTGCTGAACATTCAGTTCCTCGAGTCCATCGGCGAGCGGCCCAAAGGCATCGATGGGTTCTTCCAGCCGGAGCAGTCGAAGCCGTCCGGCAAGAAGAGGGGCAAGGGCAAGAAGAAGAAGGACCTGCATACTGATCTCTCATCGAGCTCCAGCAGCATCAATGACAGCTCGCCAAACAATGAAGATAATGACAGTAGGTTCAACAGCATATTGACCACGGGCTGAAACTAACTTGTCCCAGGAGTTGAAAAGATCCTCTTCATCGTGGAGAAGCTTGACCTACCCTTTGAAGAAGTCTCTGACGTGTTCGACTCCCACAAGGGATCCGTCGAAGGCACCATCATCGAGTTCCTGGAACGGTACATCAAGCAAGGGGTAGTCGTCGACGACAGTGACAGTGCACACGGAAAGCAACACGTACACGAGTTGAAGAAGCAGTACCGCCATATACCTGAAAGTCTGCTGTCCCCGCTCGTAGAAGTCACCCGTAGCGACCATCAATGGACCGAGGAAGTTGCTGCCTTGTTGAACCGGTACTTCGGCAAGCTTCCAGCGCAGCGCTTGAACATCAGCTACAAACTGGCCCCCCTGGCGAATGAGGAACTGGAGGGTTCGTCAGAGGGCTGGCAAAAGGTTGCATCGCCAAAGACGTCACTCATGTCTCCAACCGGGCGACCGCTTAACAGCCCGACGCTCATGAACAGCCCAACGTTCGGGCCTCGCACTTACAAACAAGCAATGGACACCGCCGGTATTCACCGCGATGCTAGCACCCATTCGTTCAGCACCGCCGGCCAGGTTTACAAGAAGGGCCACTTGTACAGACAGGCAGCAGGATTCTTTGCCGAGCGCGGCCGCGAGGAAGCAAGAAGCTTCGCCAAGGCCAAGAGTGCTGCTGCCGACATACACGTCGGCAGCACGCGCACCGCAAATGAGATCGATCTTCATGGTGTGGAGGTGGCCGATGGTGTCCGCATCGCACGGGAGAGTGCGTGGGACTGGTGGAACAACCTGGGTGAGTATAGGGCGCGAAAGGCTCAGGAGGGCTTCACGATTGTTACGGGCCGCGGCCTCCATAGCGCCGGAGGCGTCTCGCGACTGAGGCAGGGTGTTATCGCCGCTCTGGTCAACGACGGGTGGAAGGTCTCAGTCGGGACGGGTAGCTATCGCGTAACCGGGCGACGGTAGCGATCGGTTGGAGCCGATTTGGACAGCGGTTGGTTTGCTTGCGTCACTCCAACTTCATGCGAGACGCTCGGAGACTTTTTGGTGCCAGGCAACAGCATTAATGCCCTGAAACTCGCATGTACCGCCGGGTTCTGCGTGATTTGACAAGAGAAGGGATTTAGAGCAGCGTTTAGTTTAGACACGACGGATGCAATTTATCATCAGCGAAGATACCACTGGGTAACGACTGTTAAAAGGAGAAGGCACATACACTGGGAAAGATGGACTACATCAAACGGATATACTTGGACGACGCCTTTACACATGAAGTCAACAGGTTTTACAGCAGATCCGTTTGAATTTATTGGCTGTCATTGTCATCAGCAATGCTATCACGCTCTCCGCCTTACAAGTCTTGATCATCGCCTTTTCAGCCTTATCTCAAGTCCTTTCGATTCCTCCTGGATTTTCGCTCAGCAAGTGATTCTGCCTTTTCTCAAGTACGCGTGTCACCCCCAACGTTGCATGGCTGAAAATGAGGCAAAGCAGGGGGGACTTTGGTCGTCGATCACCACACTAACTTGCTTCCCACGAAGACAACGCAGTATTCTCACCACCATCACAGCAACACAGCCCGTTAGACACTCGACCGCTAACTAACAACAGCCAACGTCAAACAATGGCGTGAACGGAAAAGAGTCCCTCGCCCCCTTGCACCGCCCAGCACCCCGCATCCGCCGCCCGCGTCCAATAAGCGACCTGCGCCGCACCAACAACAACACAGGGGAGGGGCTGTTTGCACGTACTCCAGGCACCGAGATTCCACAACACCTCACTGGCTGCAACCTCTGCACCAAGCTTTGGACGACATGTTTCCAACAGGATGGTGCAGTCAAGCCGGGCGAAAGATGCGGCTCTCTTTCTCTCTCCTGCATTCCTCGCTTGCGGTTCCGACTTGAGGGGAGGGGCTGGGGTTCAGTCTGGA